AACTCCCCTCTCCTCCCGAATATACCTTTCCAAGGGAGAGCCAACAATAAAAGATGTCGTGGTAGATTTTTTTTAAGACTGTGGCGGCGATTCTTCGCGGGACACAAAAGTTGGGTCCAAGTTTGGTGGGTTTGCCAAAGACCGGTGGACGGATGAAGTCACTGAGGTCACGTGAGAGGTCCGTTTATCCCATCTTTTATGGCAGGCCGCTGGACATTACATGCGCCAATACTCCGCGATGAGCTAAGCTGCATTTGGAGCCAAAGACTGGCCAATGTAACACGTCGCAAGCCAGAGCTACAGGTGTCCTTCTACGGAATTGCTCACGATTGTCACAACCAGCGTCCGTTATCACGAACATACCAGAGTACCCGGTGAGCTTGGAAAGCATAAGCTGAACCGCTGCGCATTTTGATTGAATCCTAGCTAACCAATTGGCATTGATATAGTCGGACAGCGGTATTGCGACTAGCTCAGACCAAGCTCCGGTTCCAGCGCGGCGTCTTCACGATGATCTCCGACGACGACCTTTACAAGCTTGCCATTTTCCTAGGCTCCATTTCCATGATACTTATCGTGGTGTACCATTTTCTAGAAGTCAACTCAGAAACCAAGCCAGTCGCTGTGTCAAAAAAGTCATGATAAAGCGAAAAGAAGAAATGCAATAACAAAACACTGTCGGACGTTGGGGCGGCATGCAGAGCAGAATCAAGAATCGCAAGGCCAGCTCAATCATATATTGGAGGAATGAAACTGGCAAGGCGATTGACCGAGGACGGAGCAAAGCCCTTGAGTTGGTGGTGGCGTGACGTTGAGAGGAGAAATTCCCAGCCTTTGATACCACCTAAATGGGAGATGCGCAAAGAGACGATACAAGGGTGAATTGCATGAAATAGACGTATCAGATGGCATATCGATCTAGTAAAGTGCGTCTGATTTAAGAATTGATAGCACATGCTTTAATTGCCCGCCAAATTTCACCCGCCTGTAACCCACCTAGCACATGCATTTGCGTTTTGAGCCTAACATCGATGTATTTGCATTGACGCTATGACTTTTCCTCGATAGATATCTCAGTTTGCCATTATTTAAAAGCAATTCTTAGCAAGCGACAGCCATTCCGCATTTGTGAGCATTTGCAGCAGATACTACTTCAATACGCCTCCTTCGTCTCTCTACCGATGAGCAAGCACAAGCCAAGGCAGCGCATGCATCAAGTAGTTGATGAAGTCGCACCTGTATTACGCTCTGCTATGAACAAAGACATATCTTTCGTTTACATAGACGAAACAAAGGTGGACTTAGTCGTTGCCAGCACCTCTCCACCATTTAGATCCATAAGATGAGGCTACCGTACAAAAACCGTTTTCTCTTTGTCACCCACTTCCGAAATCAGCAACCAAGTAGACTAATAAGCCAGGGGCAAAGAACGATAGTAAGACCTCCATACAATGCATGCCCCAATACTGGCATATCAGCGCAGAGATGTGGTGGCAAATGCATTTCTATCAACGAGGCCTATACGCATATCGCCATTGGCAGAACTCGCGGGCTATCGTGGCTCTTATGCCAGAATCTGGAATTGCTTGCTGCATTAGTGCAGTGGGCTGGCTGACTTTTGTCTCACATTGACTGACTCTAGGCTATTACTACGCCAACAGGCTGGCTGACTACATGTGCTTGGCCCTGGAGCGAGGGAGAGTGAGCTGAGGGAGCCAACTTAAGGTACAAGCTGTTTGGCGGGGCGGCACATGTTGTGGCAGGTACATCCTCCTGCTAGCGCTCGCCTCAGTGAAGGGCCGCCCCTTTGTTTTTTTCCCAGGCACTAACAGCAGGCGCTACAGCAGGTGCTGAGCCTCTGGCCGGCACGCGTTCCTGCGCCCGCGTTGCCGCCCATTTATCTGCTGCGGTGACTCCCCTCCTCGCAACCTCGCCTCTTCTTCCTCGCATCTCCATTCCTCGCCCGGCTTCGCCTCTTCACGTAGCCGCAACCACAGACTCTCTCATTCGTCTTTGACACCCACGCCGAGCCAGACTCCAGCCAGGCGTTTTCCTTCTTTTCCTCACCAACCTCTCGCAATCCGTCGGATCGCTGAACAAACGCGCCCTTGCCGAATCTTCCCTTACCAGCAAAGCTGTTGTGATCTGAGCCAATTCACAAACCCCAGCACGCGCATTCTCTCGGTTAAGCCTGATTCGAACCGCTTCTCGCGAACCGTAATCCTTGACCATTCATCCTTGATTGACTGTCGCTTTCGTCAATCGTGACCACCCGCTGTCGACGCCGCTTCTCGACAGAATTTTCCACACCTTCTCATACAAACCTCTACCAGCTACCAAACTCATCATCATGTCTACCAAGCTCGACAAGCCTCTTGACGAGATCGTCACCGCCCAGCGCCGCAACTCTGTCCGCCGTCGCTCTCTGCGACGCACGACGGCTGGCCGCCCTACTACTACCGCCCCTGCCGGTGGTGTTCAAAAGACTGCCGCAAGGGCTAACCGTGGCAATGCCGCAAAGGCCACTCCCGCCAAAGCTGCTGTTGCCCACGGCGATAGCAAGGTCATCGTCAGCAACTTGGTACGTTGTGCCCACTTTCTATCAATGGGGTAAAGAAAGGCCATTTGCTAACATTTCCTAGCCCAAGGACGTGACGGAGAAGCAGATCAAGGTATGTTTCCGTTGAGACCTTTTTTGTCTCCGGACTTTGTTCGACGTTTTCTTCCTCGCCGTACTTGCTTCGTCAAGACGGTCATCCCTCTGAGAGGCATTCGATTGCCTTTTTGGCCCAAGCCACTATAAACCGCTCAAGCCTCCCTCCATTGCCGGCGCTCGGGTAACGCCACGCGCAGCACAGGCAAGTCGAGGCCGTCCTCATTTTCGCACAGAATGCCCGCAAATACCTGGTCAGTATTTGGCCGAAGCATGGCGATAAATCTAGAGGACTGCAGCAACTCTGCTGATGAACGCTGAAGCGTATTCGTCATGAGAAGCTGCGCTTGAGCGAAAGAAATTGCTGGCATAAAGTTGGCCAAACGAGCAAAGCAGCGTGTATGTGTATCCAGGAAACCCGTATTCAAGATCAACAGCTTGTCTACTTCGCGCGCAATCTATGCCTGGGGGTCTTTTCCAAACAAGTGCTGGTTAGCGGGCATTAATTGTGGATTTCATTCTGTCATTCATGATTCCCACCTGACTTATTCATGCGGGACGATCATTCTTACACTTTGGCTCCTTTGGTGTTTCCTGTCATCGGTGTGGCTCCGGGGGTGCACATATTCTAAGCCTCTCTATCTTTTATCCTGGGTTGCTGCTCGCTGCTATGCTCGCTGGTCTTCTTGTTACACTTCTTCTTTACATCGAAATGATGCGATACTCTGGGACTGGATCGGCGAACCTCGAAGTCGGAAACAATATGTTTGTGCAACCATTTGCTTCCGTTTAACTGACACACATTGCCACCTAGGAATACTTTGTCCAGTCTGTCGGCCCCATCAAGAGGGTTGAGCTGTCCTACGGCCCCAACTCCCAGAGCCGAGGAATCGCCAATGTCACCTTCAGCAAGCCTGAGGGTGCCTCAAGGGCGCTGCAGTCTCTTAACGGACTGTTGGTAGATGGCCGCCCCATCAAGGTAATTCGGTTCTTGAGCATGGGAAGCATGACGGGATTCAGGCTTACTTTTGAATGTGTAGATTGAGATTGTTGTTGGTGCTGCTCAAGCCGACAAGGTCATTCCTCCGGTCAAGAGCCTAGCTGAGCGTGCAACGTTTGTCCCACCCATCCCAATTTCGATCAGACAGATAAGCTAACCCTCAATGCAGTCAACCCAAGGCTCAACCCAGGTCTGCCGCCGGCAAGAAGCAGAACACTGCTGCATCCAAGGCCACTGGTGCCAAGGGAGCTGCTGCCGCTAATGCTAATAAGAAGCGACGCGGCCGCAATGCTCGCCCGGCCAAGAAGACGGCCGAAGAGCTCGACTCAGAGATGGCTGATTACTTCGTCAATGCCAACAACAACGAGGCTGCTGGTGGCGCTCCTGCCGCTGCTCCTGCCAATGGAGATGCTGCTATGGAGGATGAAATTATGGTAAGCTCAGCTCTCTGTTGAGAGATTGGCACAGCGGCTAATTCACATTACAGTAATGGTATTCTTTTTCAATACTAGGTGTGATGGCGTTCCAATGGACCTCATGGTTTAGATATCAGTGCATAAATGAGAAAAAAAAATTGAAAACTGGCTCAGCGCACGACAGGTTAATAAAGCGTCGGGCGACGTCGCTCACGGAGATGGTGCTACCAGATCAGATTATCTGGGTTGTGATTTTGGGGGCTTTGGGGTATGAACTCCTTTCGACATGAGATTTGCTTTTATTCTTTTTTAATTCATCGTTTCTCCTGGACTGGGGCAGGCAAAAGGTTGCAGTGAAGTGTGTAGCAAAATACGATTTAATTAGCGAAATAACAAATTCTCAGCGACAAGATCAATATCAAACGAAGCGAATAAGCAACTAGTCAACTTGCTATGATGATTACTGTCCTATGTGTAGAGATGACTTGTATTCGGGTTATAGATCTCGGTCGACCCTATTTCAAGTTACAAGCTGAAAAAAAACTATAGCGTTGGGCATGTCGTCAAGATACTTGAGGGCATAAACCTTAGATCTATACAGAAGCGACATTGAAGTTGAGAGTGGAGTGCTTTTGGTGAAACGTCTTCCACTCACAACAGCCATACTAGGAGTGCCTTCTTTTTTTCAAATCATTTCTCAAGAGGCTTCTGGATAGCCTCTGAAGCCCACACACACACAGAGTTGAGCAATAGGCACATACTCGTAACCAGAAACGCTTTTTTTAGTTGACAGTTTTTTTCTTTAAATTTTAAGAATCCGTACTCCTAAGTACTAGCCGTCGGGGTCCCGTTAAAACAATGAGGCACTCGCCAAGATTCCATTTCCAGTGTGCAGTAGTATCTCGTCATCAGAGCGAAAAACTAAACTTCTTTACGCCTTTGGTGCAGCCTCGCCCTCCTTCTTCTCCTCGCCCTCAAGATCGGGGATGTCCTCGTCCTCGTCGTCGGAGTCAGAGTCTGGGACGCCAGAGCTGCTGAGGTCGGGCATGCCTTCCAGGCCCATGGCGCTCATGTCGGGCATGCCGCCGGCGCCGCCTCCCAGCTTTGAGAAATCGATGCCGCCGAAGTCGCCGCCTAGAGAAGAGAGAGCAGATTGTTAGTTTCATGTGATTGATCCCTTGACGCGTTCTCAAGATTCAAAGAGGGGGTTTGATTGGGGGATTTGAGCGCAAAGAGGCAGTTCAATGTTACGTACCCATTCCGGGCATGCCACCTATTTCACCAAGATGTCAGCAAACAACTGTCATTGCTACATGTAAGCCAGTAGAAGGCTACTTACCCATATCACCAAACTTGGACATGTCGTCATCGGCAGCCTCGTTCTGCTCATCCTCGTCAACCCACTTGTCGAAGTCGGTCTTGAGGAAGTGCAGCTTCTTGTTCTCCTTGAGCAACCGCGGCCAGTACTCTTCCTTGAGCTCCTTCTTCTGCAGCTTCATCTCGACGTTCTTGGCAGTGTGGTTAATCTTGCTCTCGGCGGGGTCGATCTCGGCAAACAGTTCCAGCTCAACGTGGTAGGTGTTCTTGAGGGTGGCTGATTTTCCGGTGAAGGTCACCTTGGTGGGCTGAACGTCGAGCTTCAGGTCCTCCTTGGCGACATCGGGAACGGAGATGGTGAGGTAGACAAAGTTCTTGGTGGGATCGGCCACGGAGGAGCGCTGGGCCCAGAGAACTAGAGCGTGGAAACAACTGGGTTAGATGACTATGTTCCAACCAACAACAGCGATGAAGGGCGCCACTCTAGCAGTGGGAGCGAATTGGGGGCAAGCTGTTGCAACGCATCATAAGGCCGTGATGGGGAGAGAATCCTGCGTGGCGTGGCGGGACATGCACGCAGCTTGGCAATTACACACCTTCGGGGGTCAATGTCTGAGCCATGGTGTATGTGAGGATTGTGTATCGCAGGAAAAGGATTGATTGGCGAAACTGGTGGGAGAAGTCAGTCGAGCGCGGAGGTGGTGGTGGTTTGAGGTGTAATTAGCGGGATGCTGAGTCGAGTTTCGAAGAGCTTACGTTAATAAGGCTGTGGACGCAGAGAGCAAGCAGCGGGTGAAACGATCAAAAGGCAGGGAATGGAAAGCGCCAGAAGCCAAAAGATTTGGCGGGCAGGGCTGATGAGGGGCACGATGCGGCAGTACCCCTCTGCAGCGCCGCGGCTGAGGCAAACAGCAAGTACCCCGCTAACGCTGCTCTGCTCCGTTCCGCATCTGGGGGCTGGGCGCACCACCGCAGCTGCGACTGCTTAGACGCCTGATGCAGCCCCAGAGTAGTGATAGGGCTCTGCGATAAGGCTCCAGGCGCGGCTGTTAGGGGGATTGAGCCTTCTGGAGAGGGGTAACAGAGAGGACGCAGCCAGCCCAGCTTTCAGCTGTCCGTGCTACGGGATCTAAATAGATGCTTGAATAGGTAACAAGCCTTATACTCTCAGGCTGTGCCATTGGCATTGCTTAAGGCGGTGGCCAGCCTGCTGTAAGATATTAACATTTCATGCTCATGCCCATATTCCTTTTTCGCGGCGGCCTCAGCAGCCAAACAGAGCCGCGGCGGGGTAAAATACAGGGCGTTGAGAACATGAGGTCCTGAGGGATACCTAGCCACTGCGAAAGCCACACTGTGGCTGGCACCAGCCCCCATTACGGGCCAACCGTCTAGCCCAGTGACAATTCAACTCAGCCTTGGACCTTTTCGCTGCGATAGACAATCCTCACCAAACCCTCGCATATCCCGCCACAGCCTCGGCTCCACCAGCGTCGTCTTTGTGCTTCGCCCTACGGCTCGGCGCAGGCTTTCACTTTCGAATGATATAGGCCGCCGATTTTGCGTCGTTGTTCAGCATTGGGCCACGAGCCCTCGCACTCAGCCATCGCGCCTCGTCATCGTCTTCTATTCCTATCTTTAAAACGTGATTGGCGCCGACAATGGAGACTTTCAAATCCCTTTTCGCAAAGCCAGATCCCCAGGCGCAGGTAAGGCATTCGGCGCTGTTGATGATGCTCGTCTGGCTGTTAGGCTTACCCGATTACTGACCATTAATACAGATGCGAAAATGTAATCAGCTGATCCGTTCCAACGTCCGAAAGCTCGATCGCGATATCGCTCAGCTCAAGCAAGTCGAGATCAAGACCAAGAATTTAATCATTCAAGCGGATAAGCGTGCTCAGCGAGACCCCTCAAGGTCCAAGCAGGCGCAGCAGGAGGTTCGAACTTTTGCGGGCGAGCTTGTGCGCACGCGGAAGGCGTCGCAGCGGCTGGTTACGACAAAGGCGACGCTCAACTCGGTACAGATGCAGGTCAGCGAGGCCTTTGCCGTCCGCAAGATTGAGGGATCCATCCGAGCCAGTGTTGGCATCTTGAAGGATGTCAATTCACTCATCCGATTGCCCGTGCTATCTGAAACGATGCGCGAGCTGAGCGTCGAGTTGATGAAGGCGGGCATCATCGAGGAGATGATTGACGAAACGCTGCCCGAGGACATGGAGCTAGAGGACGAAGAGGGCGAGGGCGAGATTGAAAAGGTCTTGGGAGAGGTCCTCAAGGAGAAGAAAGAGCCTGCTCTACCCACCACACCGCTCCCCGAACCGGAGAAGCCGGTTGCGGAGGAAGAGGAGGACGAGGAGGACGCCGAGGCAATGATGGACCAAATGAGAAATCGATTAGATGCTTTGCGCAGCTAGAGTGGGAACAAGTCGTTTTACATCCCGCAAACTTTGGATTAAAGGCAGCGGTGTTTTGGCGTCTGGTCTTCTGGTCTTCTGGGAGGGGAGTGTTTGACGTGTGTACATACAGAATTGTCCGGGAGGGGGGGGACCGTTTTGCCCCATTCTTCATTTTCATATACACTTTCTGAGCGACATGGTATCAGGTCTGTTCATTCTAGGGTAGAGAGCCATGTGACTACCTATACTGCTTCAATCTATCTAGATCTCTCTCTTTGTCTCCATCTGCACAAACCCCCCTGTGTCTTGACGCTATTCGTTACGAGAGAGCCCATGCTCTTTGTGGGTTTACACGCATGACAGCTCTACGTGTGGAGCGCCAGCGTCCAACTTGCCTAACTGAAGCATGGGCTGCTAGCTGGCCCAAGGCTGACTTACATACAGACGGTGGAGTTTTACTCCGCTGCTGTGGTCCTGCAGTGATGCCTTGAGGAGACTCCAGATCGGCTGTGGAAAAGTGGATGTTGAGGCCGATTTGCGTCGGACCTTGGCGGTTCTGGGGCGAGAGGAGCCCCGTATCCGGTTGTTTAATACGCGGAAAGATGTTGTCTTGCATTAATACAACAGAATGGACTGTGGTCTTAACAAGGGGTGCTCATCGTACCTATAATGGGATCTGCTAATCCAAGGTCTCTATTTGGGTTGACGACTTGTCATTACCTGATTATCGCTATCTAGCAGAGGCATTTTACTCCGTTCTGAACTCTCTCGGGAGCTATCCAATTTTTTTTTTTGTGTGCTTTCACATATGCAATATAGCTATCTAGACAAGGTCTACAGGTTTACATATTCCAAGCGCTGAACCTTTGCTTGATGCTGAGAATAGAGAATTTCTGACTATGACTAATTCTCACTGTTGACAACAACCTACGAATATAGTTACTCCAAGTCCACCAGCTCCCAACAACCATACAATTCTTTAAACAGAGGTAGAATAATACTATGCCTTTTATTTGTCATGCTAGGCAACCCAGCTCCATCAAATTTCTCTAATTTGTCCCATAATCCTACATAGAGCATCATTATCCCGGGTAAGCATATAGGTAATTCTCCGTCGGCGATACGTGCTGAGCAAGGCAACAAATATATTTCGCACCCAGAAAAATACAGCGCATAGAGGAGAAACAAAAAAAAATCCAATAGAGAAGTTGTATTATCTACTATATCATAGAAACGAGGAACACAAAAAAAAACAATTACTTTAGCAGTCAAAAAACTGCGTCATCCGGAACTCGAATCCGGGCCTCAACTTTTCAATCGTGACAATGGAAGAGTTGAATCCTAACCCCTAGACCAATGACGCTTTCGGTTATTAGTGAGCATTAAAAAAAGCGACTAAGGATCTAACCCGCTCTCTCCGCGTTTTCTTTCCCTCATCATTCCTTTGTAATCCTACCGCGGGAAGCACATGCCTTTCTCCCCGAAGCACGGATCCATGTACGACCAAGTTCTTGGAGCACTTTCTGTGGATCCTTCACTTTAGACCCGGCGCGGAAGATCCGTGTGCTGGGGGCCTCTTCTTTATGTCAAGTCCCTTGTCAACAAGGTCCAAGCTTCCTCCCCAGTTGGGTTAACAAAGCGCCGAGGTGAATGAATCGCATGAAAGAGAAGGGGGGTGGTGGAACTAGAACTGGGTGCCTGGCAATTATAAGAAACACACGGACCGACCCAGGAACATGGGCGAAGCAAAGCCAGACTCATGTCAAAACAAGGGACCTTGTCTGGAGAGGGGAGTTGCGACTGTAAAGCTTTGGGCATTGCTACCCTTTGGAAATTGATCTCTAGTGTCATTTTCCGCGCCGTCGGGTCGGGTCCGGTGTATGGATTTTCAATCTTTTCTTTTTGCTTTCGGCCTCTTTTAACTTGGCTGCCTGTCTTCCTTTCATTTCCCCTTCCCGTGAATTCGGTTCCATGGCTGGCCAGGCCGGTGTCCCACGATTTTGGGAAGTCATTTTTCAGCTGCAGGGGCCCCTTTTCACTTGAATCGCGATATAATAGTCTATTAAATAGTGATACTTGCTAACGTATGCAGGAACATGACTTGTTTGTGACAGGTACGCTTTTCTTCAGCCGCAGGTCGGCGATATCACGGGCAAGAAAGCCTCTTTCAGGCAACGGCTACAAACACTAAAGCAACAAACTATAAGTTCAAAAAAGGAAAAAAGAGACCGGAAAGAGGGCGCTCCTAGGCCTAACAGCCACCCGGATGCGATCCGGAAGCCCGGACCGGCAAGCAAGAGTGTTAGCTGGAAGGGCTTCTCGTGCAGGGCAGGGGAGAAGTTGAGCTCGGAGAGGTTCCATGGCGTTGGTTTGGCCGTCGCTATTCCCTTCCCTCTCTCGCTCCTCCCAGGGATTAAGAAGAAGCAAGGGGACGACGAATTTGGAAACCAGTAACATCTCGCTCCGCGCTCTTTGAACCGGTTCCAAAAGGGGAAAACTTCACGATCCATGTCGAGATTTGGCAACCCAGGCTGCCTCTTATAAAAGAGGAGACAGGGGCTGTCGTTGGACGGTAGCGAGAGACGGCGGTCGGGGAAGCGCTTCCGAGAAATTGAGGACTGGGGCCGCCGCCACAAAAACGTGCCGGGGAAGCTCTGCCAGCCACACCTGTCTAGCTCACCTAATCTGAGGTTTCATTTGTCATATTGTGGCTTGAGACACACAGTTAGTTGGGTTTCTGAAATCGGAACGAGCTAGGGGCGTGCGGCTCTTGTCTCCGGCAAAACGCCAACGCCAAAGCTGGGCGGCTCGGGATGGTAGCGACGTAGCCGACAGAGCAAGCAAGCAAGCAAGCATCTGAAAAGCCACACACACACCACCCCCCCTTGGCCAAATCTCCTCCTTCATTTTGACGCCATCTTGCTTTTCTTAATTTTAGTTTACCCGAGAGAAATCCGAACTTATTGTTTCTTGGTGGCTTCTGAAGTACGGGGTAAACCTGGGATATGCTGGCCTAACATGTGCCAGAAATCCCAAGAAGCCGGAGAGCCGAGAGAGCTCATTTACCGAGCTCGGGAAACCCTTGGTTCTTCCTCGCGGATAAGTAAGCCAAAGGATTCACAAGCAAGGTAAGAAGACAAGAAAGAGAAATGTAGGTGCCTAAATCTCAAGTTTGCTTGCCCGATCCGTCGCCCGGTTGTCGCGATCCTGTCATCCATCTACCTGTCATCCATCTAATGCGACGAGCCCTTGGATCCTTTTGGTGGTTGTGGCTTATCGCGAGTCATCGTCTTCCTTTTTTGTTTGATTGAGGTTTATAATGCTTGGACGGTTTGCCGGTTTCGCGGCATGGCAGGAAAAAAGCAAGGGAGCGTTATTATAATGAAGGATGCTGGGCATAAGGATAGTTGCTCAAAGCAGCTATAGTCGCGCCCATGTCACGGCGTTTGACGAGCGAGTTCCGAGTTTTCTCCCCAGAAAGACAAGATGTCACTGATTAAACAGGAAGCAAAAAGGAAAGCTGGCGGGGACAATTGTTCGGAGTCACAACTTGGGCAATCGCGCAAAAGCAAGTAAAAAAAATAGAAGAAAAAGAAAAAAGGCATACAGTAGACCGAATACACCGCAACCACACCGCACTGGACTTCTCTCTTCCTGCGCACAGCGCATACGCAAACAAGTTCACGATAGGGTCCTCTCGTAAAAAGGACTCTTCTGCAACGTTGCCATTTAGCCGTTCGGTCAACCACCGCTTCAGCCGCTGCCACAAGCTTGTTTGGCGATGCCGAGCCATTTTGCCGACGGGGCATGGGAAATTTGGACTAGGGAAAAAGGGTCTTGCTCCACATTTTGGAATGTTCGAAGAAGAACTTCTGCAGCGGAGCGAAAAAGCGAAGTGCGCTTCGGAATCGGACCTCGTGGGGACCGGTGGGGTATTTGGGCGCAAGATTCCGAAATGCTGGGTTGGTCGAGAGTTGACAGCGGTCACTAAATGAGGACCGTTCGGAAACGGACCGTAATACTAGTAGTGTGCGAATGACTAGTGTAGTGCGCAATAGGCTGTAGCAGTGCCGTCAAGGGTTGTTTTCCTTTGTAATTTTGTTTGGGGGTGCAGTTTCTGTCAAGCTGTGTTTGACAAGGGCTTTTGTCGTGAGCTATCGTGAAGCAAGAATCCACACGCATTTTGACATCTGAGTTGTCTTTTTTGGTGTGTGTGGTTGATCGCCGGCCTCCATCTCCGAGAGGGCAAAGTGTGGGTTTGGGTTGGTGCCCGAAATCTATGACTCCACGCGGTGTAGTAACAATGGGCGACGTTCACCTTGATCGCGATGCTACAAGAGATTTTTTGCATCTACTTGTGGAAACTACAAGGCTGCTTGTGGCTGAATTGAGAAGGCATTGAAGCGAATTACGAGCGCGAAGGCCACACGAATAGCTGTATATGGTAGTTGCCTTTGTCATCCTCACAACCCGAATGGAGGTACTCTCGAAAACGGAGAAATTATTTCCAGGAGTCAGGACAAGAAGCCACATAGCAAAAAAGAAGCCGTCCATATAAGCAGAAGAGAAGAAAAATTTTCATAGCCTATTTGATTACACGTGTATTGCTTAGCACTAGTGACTAGAGTTGGAAACGGCAGCTGTCAAGCCGACACCTTGGATAGGTTAAGCTGGTTTGGCCGAACAAAGAACGCAGAGAAATCGGTGCTAGCTTTTTGGCTATTCTAATCCCTCCCGCCGGGGCACAGCGTGGACGATCCCGGATGCAAGGGAGGGCAGCATTGACACGAGCAGGGCAAGGATTGAAGGTAGTCATCAACAATCCCTGGACTGAGGAAGCCCATAAGATTGGGCTCTATCTGAAACGACAAAGCACCGAAGAAAGAAGAAGAATAAAATCTCTGGGAGCAGCGCACGGGGAATCCGCCTCCCTTCAGGGTCCAAAGCGCTTTGACCACGAAGTAAAGGATTAGTGCAGAGAAGAAAGAGTGCGAGCGGTTTGCTCTTTAGTCTCTACC